ATCGGTAAAAAATCGGCCGATTCGCCCACTAATTGCCGCGAAAATCGGCCGATCGGCAAAATCGGCCGATTTTTTTCCAACTTTACCGAAAAAAAAAACGGCCAAAAATACCGAAAAACCGGCCGACCAAATCGCCCACTAACGATCCGAAAATCGGCCGATTTTATTTTCGGCCGAAAAATCGGCCGATTTTCGACCCATCTATGGCCTGCATTAGTTATACTTCTTTCCTGATGCAGTGCTGACAGTAGCAGAATAAGTTTGAAACTTTTCAGCTGGGTAAGCATAGCTCAAACTATTTAAAGCGAAAGGTACCATGGACATGGGCTTTAATGACCAGTGATTGAGGATAGATCTCAGGCCTCTTATGATTTTTCAGTCTCTGAGTCTGGGTAATTCCTTTTTTTTTTTTTTTTTTTTTTTTTTTTTTTAATGCCCACCTATAGAATGTTTTGTATGTGTATGTACATTCTGTAAGTATTATATCGCCGATTAGTGGTTATATTTTATTTATTTTTTCCTGACAGCACAACTCTGGCCTCAGTGGCCTCTACAGTATATGTAGAGGGGCCAATAATATTTACAAATAAAGCACTATACTATTCATAAATCAAAGTATAGTGTTTGCATCTGTGACAAGGTCTTATTTAAAGTGTTACTAAACCAATGACCCTGCATTCACTATATCTGGTGGCCCACAGTACACAGAACATGGAAATGCAATTATTTTAGTAAATATAAACTGCTAAATACCTTTTCTCATCAGCAGTTAGAGCAGTCTGGTGACTTCTGTCAGTGTCCAGCAGCGCTATCGTTGAAGCTTGTAGGAGGAGTGTTCATTCTCCTCTGACTGCCCTATGAGGCTGTATAACCCCTGGCCCTATATCTGGATAGTGCTGATTTGGCCTTGTGCCGATCACATGCACTCTCCAAAGAAAAAAACCCCCAAAAAACTAGCAATAAACAAGCTGAGCATGTGCAGCTTGGCTTCAAGCAGATGGATTGGGGACAGTAGAAGGGGAGGATCAGAGAAGACTGGATCAAACGGCCTTTTTTTACACAATGCGGAGGATTAACTCCTTAGGTTCCACAGTGAGTAAACAAGCATGCTTTACTGCATATACAGACTGATTTTACTGTTGTGGGTTTAGTAACACTTTAAACCTAGAACACACAATTAAATATTAGAATATTGGACAAATGATCGTCCTAAATCTAAAGGAAATTGAACAAGAAAATTGTATAATGTACGACCAGCTTAAGACAGAATACTTTGGAAGTGCTGTATTTTAATGAATTTTTTCATTTTCTGAGCATGCCCGGCCTTTGTAACTTTTTACTACTAATACTATACTAATTGCACAAAAATAATTTATTCTGTTATGTTACGAGAAGCATTTTTCTGCTTGTCCCTGCAGATATTTTTGCATGAACTGTTGTGATCAGCTGAGTACTAATGAATAGATTATCAGACTATCCGAATGTGGTGTGTGGGTTTTTTTTTTTTTTTTTTTTTTTTTTTTTTTCCACCCTTTCGATTTTTCTGTGTGTTTGTTAGGGCAAGGCTTGGCAAATCCTAGGTGCCAGGTCACCATGGCGTCTAGAAATTGCATCCTTCACACATGTGTACTGAAATCTCAATGTCATTCCGGTTTCTGTACGATTTTAGTACGGGTGTGATTTCTGTCTCTCCATGACTGCCTCCCATTGACTTCAAGGCAAAAACTCTTGTCAGTGGCAATCTTACGTGAACACTTATCTCTGCATGCCACTTGCATGCATGGAGAAACGCTGGAGACATACTAGAATTTATTTACTAAAGCTGGAGAGTGCAAAATCAGGCTCACTGCATAGAAACAAATTAGCTTTCAGGTTTTATTGCCAAAGCTTAACTGAACAAGCTGAGGTTTAGAAGTCAATTGGTTTCTATGCAGATGTGAGCCTTGTTTTGCACTTTCCAGCTTTAGTAAATAAACCCCACTACTGCCAGGCATCTCTGTCCTCCATTTGTCCATTGCAATATGTTTACTCCAAGATGAGGTTAAGTTAGAGTTGGGGACCTCACTTCATAAAAATGTGTAGATGGGCCTTGACAAGGCATTGTGGCTGCCACATGTATTGCTTTTACTAAACAAAAAACCCCAGCAAACAAAGGATTTATACATCTATATTAGCTTTTCTCAACCTTTTCAACACAGATGAACCCTTGAAATAACTTTCCAGTCTCTGGAAACCCTGCAAAAAATGACTATATCTACAACTCATGATCCATTAGTGTGGGGATCATTGGGAAGAATGCTCCTTACTCCTGTGGTCATTGGGAAGAATTCCCCCTTACAGATGGCTAAAATGTTCAGAGGTGTTAGTGGGAACTTTATCTAAGAGGCAGAAATGCTCAAGGAACCATTGGTAACCTGGAGTATCCCTAGTTGAGATATCCAGATCTACATGGTTCCAACTATATATAAAAAGTGTGGAGCAGGAGGCGGACTGACCATTTGGAAACTCTGGCACTGCCCGAGGGCCCGGGGTCAGTAGGGGGCCCCATGAGATGCCCCTGGTACCTTTCATAGGCTTTTTTGAGTTTGGGCAAGGACACGGGCCCCATGATCCCCTATTGCCCGGGGGCCCCATGAGTTGTCAGTCCGCCCCTGGTGTGGAGTACTCAGATCTTCAGCCAGAATGCTATGCCAATGAATCTTAACAAGCAACTATAAAGAGAGCAAACAGGAGAGCACAAATGTCTTGTTCATTACCAAACACTTTTTTTTTTTATTTTTTTTTTTATTAAAGTACACACAAATGCCAATTTCATACTCGCAAAGGAGATGGGATAAAAGTATATTGTGCAAAACTCGTCCTCTGGTAGTGTCACCTTGTCCAATGTACCACTCTGTTGGCTGGTTGTCAACCTGAGCCTGCCAACCGAGTGGTGCATTAGACCAGGTGACTCTCTGCTACCATGGGACCTGAGTTTCTTTCGATACACTACTCTTATCCTGTCTCATCTTTTGAGTATGAAATTGGCATTTTGTTTGTATTTTTAATAAAGGCATTCGATAATACAGTAGGCGATTTTGCCTTTTGATACAGCCTGCTTTCTATGCAAAGTGCTGCCTTCCTAGTAGCTTTATTGATTGCTTCAAACATTTTGGCAGACAGACAAAGCCAGCTTTGAGGTAGAAAACAGGTTATCATCCAGGTTATCATCCGTGTGTGTGTGTTCCTGGTTTCTGGCCTAGGCCAAAATGTCATACATCCCAGCAGCTTTTATGTTTGTTTGTTTTTTGTTTTTTTTTTCTTTGTCTTGGGATGCAACAGATTGGCTGGTTTACACAGGCACTCTGAATACTCTGAATACTTTTAATTTTTAAATGGAACTGCACTCTCTCAATCAACATTGACTATATTTAATCTTTATGCTGCTGGTATTGGTAAATAGATGGCAAACTATATCAGATTTACCCCTTTTTTTTTGGTTACATTTCTTAAGTTCTGGATTCCAGGCCTAGGCAAATGATGTCCTACAGCTCGGGAGTCTTTTTGAGGGGAGGAGGGTCTTTTTTCAGCTAAGCACACCCCCCTGCCTGCATATCTGAGCTAAGGGCAGATGGATTCAAGGAAGTAAATGCTAGGGGTTGTATTTCAAAGTTGTTTCTCAACAAACTAAAATTTTGTATTTGGATAGTAAAATGAATAAAATGGCGTTTTTTGGTTTGTGGTGGTTTTAGGTCCTCTACGTGTGCGCTCCTTCCTGCCAACAAGTTGAAGCTGCCCATTAGATGCTAATGCTCGGCAAACACTGCAGCTATGCTAAGTTGAGTTCACTCAAATTGTTTTCTGAGGCTTCTATTGTGTAGCTTTCGGATTGCCATCACTATGAGCCTCCAATGCACATTTTTGCTCCTAAGCTGTACATCGTTTGAAAAGGTACATGAGCTTTTATTGGAGCTGTGTTGAATGTTTTTGACCCCATAGATTTTAATAGGAGGCCCTGTAAACGTGCAATGCAAGCATTTTTGTGTGTTTTTTGCACCTGAAAAATTGTTCTCCTTTGCTCTCATATTCTTCTCCCATCTAGGAGTAGAGATGTAAAACTCATTGATGCTTACAGGAAGTGATTTGATTTGTTATTTTTTCAGAGGGATGTGCTAGTTAAATATTTAAGGGGGTGCCAATTTTTGTCCAGTCCATTTTTGGGGTTTGGCATGTGCCCGATCTTGGGTTTTTGTTTCTCTATTCCTTTTGTTTGTATTAGTATAAATACAAAAAAAAAGAACAGGAGAATGCCTAAACATTTGTAATTGCAACAATTTTCTGGGCGAAGTGGTGCATTATCTAACAAATGTAGGGGTGCGAATATTTTTGGCCATGTCTGTATATGTGCACAAACATGCAAAATGTGATAAAAACACGTGTGTTTTTTTTTTTTTTTTTTTTTAAGTGCCTACATAAGCGCTTAATAGGTGTGAATACAGGCTGAAACCTCTTAGTGTTGCTTTTTAACAGACATCTTGTGTGTGAAAGATGGCAAAGAATACAATGGATTTGTTTGGCACATGGGAATAGTTCTTTTGCATCACAAGCAGTGGTCCTCAGCTAAATTGGTTACAAAATGAAGAGGGGTAGGCTGGTGTGCCATACCTGGGTAAAAAAAATAAACTTAAGTTGGGTAAGAAACTGAAGTACGGAGCGTATAGGTTTTGCTTCCTGTACGTAAAAGCCAATTGGCCATTGTTAAAGCCCCAACTCCAGGCAACATAAAAATGATCCTGGGAGGAGCAGAGGATCAGGTAAGGAAAACCGTTTCTCCTTTCCCTTAGACAAATAGAGAAATTTAATTCTTGCAGTGTGGGAACATCCCCCACTGCAAGGGATGGTTTTTTTTAGTTGCCTAGAGGTGGACTTTAAATTGCTAACTTAGAATCCATTGTAAGATAAGTAGAATGAGCATAGTTCTATGAAAAATGCTTAACACATTTTTTTTTTTTTTTTTTCAGGAACATAATTCAGAACTCAAAGAATACATTCTATAACCTGCAAAAACAAAATGCTGCATTTAAGCCAGTACTGGCTGTAATTCAGGTAAGTAGGCACGACCTAGGATGTGAAAAATCTAATTTAAAAAAAGAGTAAAAGTAGACTGTATATATGTAAAAGCAAGAGTCATGTACCAGCACTAATTGGTCTATTTCTGACCCATCTTCTGATGTTCAGTTTTAATTAAAGCCCAACCTCTCAATGCTTTTTTTTTTTTTTTTTTTAAATTTGGATAGAATAAGGAAAGTGTCACTGGGTCTGGAAGTAAGGAGAACTTTTAGAACTTGTTTTTTTTTTTTTTTTTTTTTTTTTTTTTTTTTTGAGACACCTAGAATATATTTAGTGGATTTAGACCGGCGTTTATAGTTATTAACTTCTGCTTTGTCTAATTTTAAGGGAAACGGGGAAGATCAAACTTTGCAAGCAACAAAAAATTATGCACAAGAGGTAAGGTTTAATGCTTTAAATTTAGTGATTATGTGGGTTTAAAAGTTGTATATTTATGCTGTTCTGTTTATTTGTAAAGTGTACTAGATGTAAATAGTGTTTTGTAAATTGGGATTGATTTATTAACTGCAAACATATAGAAGCAAGGAGAGAAATCACTATGAAGTTTAATTGGTAAATTTGCAGTGTGAAGCACTGATACACACCCACCTAGCAATCACTGTATCCTTACTGATCTGCTAAAAGGTTCACGCATGTTTAGCACACACATTGCTGTCCCAGTTTGCAATGTACATCAGACATTCAAATAATGCTGCTTTTCTGCCTTATATTTCAATAAAATGCACTAAGGAATGTGCTAAGACTCTACCTTGAAGTGAGTGACTTCAAGTGGTACTAAACTCAGGACCCTGCATTCACTAGATCTGGTCTCCCACAGTACACCAGACATGGAAATGCAATTATTTCAGTAAATATTAACTGCTAAATACCTTTTCTCATCAGCAGTTAGAGCAGTAATGTGACTTATATCAGTGTACAGCAGAGCATTGGTTAAAGCTTGTAGGAGGAGTTTTTCATTCTCTCCTGATTGTCCTATGAAGCAGCACTGCCCAGACAGAGGGTTAAGGGTTATGCAAATTGGCCCTGTGATGATCACATGAACCCTTCCAAGAACAAAAAACAACTCTCTGGCAATACACACCAAACTGAGCATATGCAGCTTGCCCCCAAGGCTCTGTTCTATTAGATGGACTGGGGACAGTAGAAGAAGGGGAGGATCAGATAAGACCGGATCAAACATCCTTTCCACAATGTGGAGGGTTAACCTCTTAGGTTCCACAGTGAGTATAAAAAGCATGCTTTACTGCATATACAGACTGATTTTACTGTTGTAGGTTTAGTAATACTTTTTCAGTATATTTCAGTCAGTCCTTTAACAAGCATATAAAGGAACTGTTTTTTACCTACCAAAGTATTTGTATTTTTTTCCTGTCCATATCTGAGTTTATTTTTCTGCTGCAGTTCAGTAAAGCAGCCCATAGATGATTTGATTTTTTTTTTTTTTTTTTTTCCTTCCACCATGGGTGTCCACTGCCTGTGTTGATGGGGGGATGTCTCCTGCAGCACTACAGTGTTCTGCTAGTGGGGGAGCCTCCCAGCCTGCAGAATGCAGTGATTACTGCTATAGCTGCCGGCAGTAATCACAGTGTGTTAAAAAAAAAGACAGGCTGGTTGTACCAAACTTGATCAATTTGGATTCTTTTAATACTTGGGCCTTGTTTACTGCCCCTCCGAAGAATTGACAGGTGGCTTGGAAGCAATATGTCGCCTCCTGGATGTCTGTTGAAAGCGCACCACATCGCATTACATTGAGTTGCAGTGCGGCCCCATTCATTTGAAAAGGTTCTGCCTACAAAGCACGACCTGCTATGTAAACTTTACCATACCGCAACTGCGGCAGTATGTACCAACATGGCCATTAGCCATGTAAACTTGCAGCTTGGCAGTCTGGAGGCAGTGAAATAATGAAATGACCCTTCTACCTGATTAGAGGGCTTTGCAGATTTCCTTCCAGCTCTGTGACTGGACAGTGAAAGGAGAAGCCGCAGTCTGACAAGTTCATCTCTGTCCTCCTCTCTCCTACTTTCAGCATGCTCCTGTTGCCACTAGTTGGCACCTTTTTGTGTTTTCTCCTCAACAACTTCCCACATTGTGAGCTTTGCTGAAAAGGGATTGAAAATCTGGTACCAGTTTGAATGTAGTTGCACTTGTATTAAAAAGAGGAAAAAAAATACACCCTCAGCTCTGTATTCATTCAATACATATTTATTTGTATTTTATATCTGCCTGCAGTTCAGCTTTTTTAAAAGAAAAAATACATAAATAAAAAATAACCTATATACAGCATGATTGGCCATTAATGTAATAAATTAAACCAAGCCTGCAAAGGAAGTTTAGTAATGTATACACCTTGTGGGTCATGCTGGTAATATCTACTGATGGATACATTTATGTTCAAAAATATAGAAAAAAAGTTCCAAAGATAATAACTTCAATGTTTTTTTTTTTTTTTTTCCAGCTTGGTGTGGATATCATTTATATACACCTAACAGAAGGGAGCAGCGAAGAAGAGGTCAGTGCTTGTACTTTCTATATGGTATTGATTTGGAATGTCCTTTTCAATTTTTTTTTTTGTCTTCTCTCAGCTAAAACGTGAATTTGCCCAAGGCAGAATAGTGTTTCTTAAACTTGGGGCCACATTGATCTTGCAGGAGCCATTCTGCTGTTTTTTTAAAAAGCCTAATTCATTTTTGTGAATGGGGGGGGGGTGCTAGATTTGGAAAGATCCCAGATGACCTCACAGGCATGTGACCATCCTCTCCACCTATTAGAGTGTCCTCCAAAACATGCAGAGAACTCTTGTGGGCCCTGCAGGCTCCATACCACAGCCTGTATTTTATAAATTACATGTAAAATGTGGGTGCATTGTGGTGTCTGTCGGATGACCGTATCCCCTCTTCATTTTAAAGAGTCCCCTTTAGTGGCATTTTAGTTATGGCAGCCACGTTGCCTATAAATAAACATCTGTTGCCTAGGAGTTTTTTAGTTTGTTTCTGATTTGTAATGGTGTGTATCCATTGTCCTTTTTTTTTTTTTTTTTAATGGGCAGCACATTCCATTTGTTTTCTTTGTTATGCATTCTTCATTACTAGAAACAGAAATTGATTAGGTCATTTTAGTGTTCTGGCTTCTCCATTATGGTTCTCCAGCAGGTGCTGATGGGGAAACCACCACTGCACAGAGAAATCTGGGGTAGACAAACTGTCCAGTCATGGATTTCAGCACCATCCTATGAAAGCCTGTATCCCAGTTTTGCAGCCACTCAGCCCCTTTTCAAGGGGTTTTGTTGGACAGGGACGAGTTCTACTTTGATAAGAACAGTGGGGCTCATTTAAAGTATATCATTGCCTAACTGCAGGTGTACCACTGATCTGTCCCATCACATTTATAAAGAAATGCTGTATGCAATAAAACGTCCTTTGCTTGCTTCAGAGTCCCGTATTCTAATGAATAGAAAACAGGAAAGCGTGTTTTGGAAGGAGCAGAAAACCTGTGACATGACCTCAAAGGAGTCATGTGGAAATTAATTTCTTTCCTATCCCTGAGTTTCCTTTTGCAGCGTTATGTAGAGCACACTTGATGTCACCTGCACTTTGTGTTCTGATTTTTATTAATCTAAGGTAAAGCTCAAGGCATTTCCAGAGAGATCCTGCAGTTTTTGACACTGAGCTGTGGCCCTTTATAATGGGGCCCTTCGAATAACATCTTATTTTGCATTATTTTTAGTAAAAGCAGGGGACAATTTTGTACTTGAGGGGAAATATTGTAGAATTTTCTATACTTGAAGTGATTTTAACTTGGAATGGACTACTGGCAACTGGGCTTCTAAAGTTTTTCTGTTTTTAGTTGAAGTAACGTATTTCAGTACTTTTATATAGTGCCATCAATTTATGCAGCACTTTGAGATAGATAGATAGATAGATAGATAGATAGATAGATAGCGATAGATAGAGATATATATATATACAGTATATATATATATATATATATATATATATATATATATATATATATATATACTATATATATCTCTCTTATTTATATTACATTCACATCCATCCCTAACTCTCGAGGGGCATACAATCGAAGATCCCTAACTCACATTCATACATACACATACTAGCGCCAATTTAGACAGGATCCAATTAACTTACCAGCATGTCTTTGGAGTGTGGGAGGAAATCGAAGCACACAGAGGAAACACATGCAGGCTCAGGGAGAACATTCAAACTGCAGGCATGTGGTGCTATGGCTGGGATTTGAACCAATGACCCTAGTACTGCTAGGCGGAACTGCTAACCTTTTAGCCACTGTGCTGCCCATCTTCCTGTTTGTTTGGTTGTTGTTGTGTTTTTTTTTTTTTTTTTTTTGTCTCGGGGTGTCTCCTCTCTAGATGTAGGAGCATCAGAGACACGCTTAGACAGGAGCATTGTCAGTCTGGGGATAAGGTAGTGTTGGGTGAACTAGCAGATTTAGACCAAATTTAAAGCTGAACTCCAGCTAACATTAAGTGTCAGTTCAAATTTCTTAGTTTGTGTTAGCATGATAGAATTGTTTTAATATGTGAGTTGGCGCCCCTAATGGCTGGAGGACAAACTACTACACTGGGCCCCTCTCCAGAAAGATATAGTTTTTTTTTTTATCACTCGCCATTGACACCTGTCCTTATTATAGAATTATTTTTAGGGGAAATGGCGTAGAACACTAATTTTCCTTCATCAGCTCTTTTACACACTGCTTTTCATCCTGAAGGCATGGAGGGAAGCTACTGTATACTTTGCAAGGCATCGCACATTCAGGTGGTGGTTCAGGCCCTGCCCCTAGAAGGATTCAATTATGCAGCAGGACGTAATGCGAGGACCCTTCTACTTAGAAGGGTAGACCATGCAGCCACCAATCCATCCCTCCTACAGAACCTCTGTCTGTGGCCACCGCTGCCACTTCTCCCATGCTGGCTGCTTCTTTTTTTTTTTTTTTTCTTTTCTTCTCTTCCTTTTCTATCACCCTGAGGTTAACATGAAGGTTTTCACTTCATTCCCATTTCCCATTCACCGCAGAGGCTTACTTTCATTCTTTGCTCACAGTAAGTCAGACCAGTCATTGTTTTTAATTCAAAACTCTTTACTTGAATAAAGGTATTGAGTGAAAGTTCCTTTTTAATCTTCACATTAGTCTACGTAAGCAATGTTATAATTTAACAAACATTGCGCTCTTCCTTTTTCATATATTATGCCAACCTTGCTGTGTTGCTCTTACCAATGGTACAGTATATGGCTTGACTATACAGTCCAGTCCACTTGGGTGAAACACTTCATCTTTTTAATGTCGTCCTTTTCACTCCCATGACCAACTACCGTAAACTACTAACAAACTTTCTCTCCAGGACCAACCTCTTCTGACTTAAATATTCCCAACTATAGGAAGCATCACAGGTCAAACAGCAGATACACAACCGCATGTTAACACTAAAGTCATCAGACATTAACACCAAAAGGGACATTCATGGGTAACATTTTTGGCACCTGCATGCAAGCTAATCATTTGTGTAAGAATGCCTATCAATGTTAAATGGTTTGTCATAACCCACTAACTACCATTTTTGCTGGACAGCTTGGCCTTTTAAAGGAAATGGAAAATGGCTTTGTTGGAAAGCTTCAATATGGCTTATTTGTTTTTAATACCACGTTAGCAATCGGGAGTGCAGACATTTTTGAAAAAAAAACTACTTGTCCAGGGACTAAATCAGGGCCTTCATGACAACCTACTTGTCCTGATTAAGAAAAAAAAAAAATTACATTTGAACCAAGCTCGTATTTAAATCGGAGGTGATTTTAGTAATGTCTGGGGCTTTTAAAAACAAAAAGGGGCTTTATGGCGACTTAAACATTTAATATTTTTAACAGTACGCTGTTTATCTCTTCCTCTCCTCCTTACCTGTCTCCAGCACAGCACCCGGGGACTAGCAGGGAGGGGAGAGATCTTGCAGTGTAATGAGCACCGATTGGCTGATCCTCAGGAAAGGGGAGTGTCGGGCTTGTCGTGTGGGGTTTTTTTTTTTTTTGTTTTTTTTAATCCCTTTCGCTGCCAGAGCCGTTTTTGCATTTTTTTGCACAAGTTTATAAAATAATTTTGGGCCTGAAGATTACATAAAACCCCCTAACAGTATATATTTTTCTGAAAGCAGAGACCCTAGAAAATAAAATGGTGGTAGTTCCAATTTCTTATGCCGCATGATATTAATTAAGTTAATTTTAGGGCACAAAAAAAAAATAAATGACACTATGTTTTGTAAAATATAAAAGATGAGGTTGCACCGAGTAAATAGATATCCAAACTTTTAAATTTTGTGTTTTTAAAAGTGTTAATCATCTTGGAACAAATTTTATTTATTACCTTGTTTGAAATTCAAACCATTTGTAGTTTTTCCATACCGTGGAATGATCAATTTCAATTACTGTAGGGATCTATTTAAAGATGAATTCCAGGCATAGGATAGTTTTTGCATAGTTACATTGGTCCAGCTTGAATGTATCTATGTATAAACATACCTCGTTGATGCCCCCTGGAAACACCTGAAGTAGACACGGCTACTCCAGTGATCTCCATTTGCTTCTGGACCCTGTGCGAAGTGGAGACTGCTTGATACCTTGTGAACATAGGAGGTTGGCTGCTCGGCACAGACGCCATTCAGAGAAAGCTTGCATGCAAAATGTTCTGGTTGGACGAGGTGGAGAAGCTGGATGGTGATGTCTATTGCTAGACTCAGGCATCCACTATTATTAATAATAATATTATACTGGATTTATATAGCGCCAACAGTTTACTCAGTGTTTTACAATATAAAGGGAGACAATACAGCGCCGATACAGTTCAATACAAGAGGGTTAGGAAGGCCTGCTCCTTGGAGCTTACAATCTAAAGAGGAAGGGCCTGGTGGTACAAAAGGTAACTGTGGGGGATGAACTGATAGGATGAATAGATTCTGTTAACTGAAGGCGAGATAGGCTTCCCTGAAGAAGTTTTAAGAGATCGCCTAAAAGTTAGCAGAGTAGGTGATAGTCGGATACATTGGGGTGCAGTTCCAGAGGATGGGGGAGGATCTGAAGTCCTGCAGACTAGCATGGGAGGAGGAGATAAGGGAGCTAGCGAGCAGGAGGTCATGGGAGGAGCGGAGTGGCTGGTTTCAGTGATATTTGGAGACCAGACTGGTGATGTAATTTGGGGCAGAGTTATAAATGACTTTATATGTTATTGTTAATGTTTTGAATTTTATTCGTTGGGCAATAGGAAGCCAGTGGAGGGATTGGCAGAGAGATGGCAGATATGGAACGGTTAGTAAGGTGGATGAGGCAGGCAGTAGCATTCATGATAGACTAAGGAGGGGATAGCCTGCGAATAGATAGGCCAATGAAGAGGGAGTTACAATAGTCAAGGCGAGAGAAAACAAGGGAGTGAATAAGTTGCTTAGTGGTTTCAGAGGTTAAGAACGGGCGTATCTTGGAGATGTTGCAGAGGTGAAGTCTTCAACCCCATATCCAATCACTGTCCAAATCTTGTAAAGACAGATTGGAGTCCAGGATTGCACCTAGTACCCTGGCATGAGGGGAAGGACTGATGGTGGTTTTATTATTGATCGATGGATAAGTCAGGGGAGGGGGCATGTGCTGGAGGGGAATAGTATGAGCTCTGTTTTGGAAAGCTTTAGTGTGAGGAAGTGGAGTGACATCCATGCTGATATGTCACTTAGTAGGTTAGTAATGTGAGAGGAGACTGAAGGGGTGAGGTGAGGAGTAGAAAGCTAGATTTGTGTCATCAGCATAGAGATGGTACTTAAAGCCATGGATGTTTATCCAGTGACCAAGGGAGGAGGTGTAGATGGAGAAGAGAAGGGGTCCAAGGACAGAACCTTAAAGGGACCCCTACAGAAAGAGGAAGTGGAGGAGAGGAGTAGACCGAGTCATAGGTAACGCTGAAGGATTACTGTGATAGGTAGGAGGAAAACCAGGAGAGAGGAGAGTCTCGGAGGCCAAGAGTGGAGTGTTTTTTTTTTTTTGTTTTTTTTTTTTTTTGAGGATAGGATGGTCAACCGTATCAAAAGCCACAGAGAGGTCAAGTAGTAAGAGTATGGAGTAGTGGCCATTTGGTTTTAGCAGTTAGTAAATCATTATTTTTAGTAGGGCAGTTTCAGTGGAGTGTAGTGAGCGCAAGCCAGACTGTAAAGGGTCAAGAAGGTTGTTGTCAGTGATGTAGGAGCTCAGGTGATTGTAGACTAAGCGGTCTAAGAGTTTAGAGGTAAACGGGAGCAGGGAGATGGGTCTTAAGTTGTTCAGTGAGGGTTTTTATAAGTTTGAGCGTGACCTGTGCATGCTTTAGAGGGGTGGGGAAGGCCCCATTCAGTAGTAGCAAGGTCAAGAGGAAAGTGTTAAGGGAGGTTTAGTATAAGGCATGCTAAGTGGGATAGATGTCTGTGTAGTGGAGATGCCCCTACGAATTCCATCAGTCTCATTTTCTAAATGATTTTCAATCTCATAAGCAGTGAGTTACTGCTTACTGGGTGGAGGTGGAGAAAGTAGAGTTAAAAGAGAAATGATAAGGAATGGTTGACAAGGTATTAATAAGAGTGACAAAGTAGGCTTGTTTGGCAGCATGGAGGGAGGAATTGTATGTTAAGAAAGCAGATTTATATAGGGTGAATGCTTGCTGAGATTTGGATTTATGCCACAATTGCTCCAGTGCACGACTGTCGCTTAAGATTTCTGTTGTAATCAATCTGCCATGGTTGTAATGGTCGGGGCCTGATACTTTGTGTAGTTAGAGGAGCAAATGAGTCTAGTGTGGATGAAAGCGAATTGTTGTAGACAGCAGTGGCCAGGGCAGGACAGGGGAGAGATTCTGTAAATCAGTCAGTTGCAGAGTGGAAAAGAAAAGGGTTTAAGTTCTGAAGGTTTCTGCAGGTAATTGTTTGCTGCTTGGAGGGATAAGTGTCTTAAGATGAAAACACTGTAAAGGTGATGAGATTGTGATCTGAGAGAGGAAAGGAGGTATTTGTGAGGTTGTAGGGAGTGCAAAGATAGGAGAAAACGAGGTGTAATGTATTCCATCAGAGTGAGTGGAGGACTGTATGTTAAGGCAAAAGATGAGGTTAGGTTGAAGAGTTGGGATGTAGCTGGGTTGTTCACATTAATGGGGATGTTAAAATCTCCAAGTATGATGGGTATTTCGGAGGAGGGAAAGTAGAGTAGCCAAGCAAAGAAGTCCCCAAGAGAGCTCAACACTGGTCCAGGAGGCCAATAGATCACTGCAATCCTCAGAGAAATGGGAGAAAACGGCCAAATACAAGGAGTCTTGCAAGAAAAGGATAGAGAGGGATGGTTATGGAGGACTTGAAAGATGCTCATTGGGGATAGAAGCAAACCAATGCCACCTTCTTTCCGACCACTGGGTCTGGGTCCAGAGAAGGTCTCTATAGGAAAGTGCTGCAGCAGAAGCTGAATCTGATGCTAGTAGGTTAAGGGAGACAAAGGTCATGGACAGAGGTGAGCTTTTTACAGAAAGAGCGGGCATTCCAGAGTGCACATGAAAAATGGAGGGTGGTCTTTAGGAGCTTGGGGATTGAGGCTATTCCTGGAGGAAAGAGGGTGTCTGGTGTGGGGGTTAGATACTGGAGAACCAGTGTTTAGGGAAATCTCCCCAAAGGTTAGGAGAAGGAGGGTGAGGAAAGTAAGATGGGAGTGGGATGCATATGAGTGCACATGTCTTCCTGTCCTAGTGTTTGGGTCGGCAGGTGAGTAAAGTATTAGCAGGCAGTGATGAGAGCAGTAGTATGGAGATGGTAGAAGTGATGGTGATATAAGCTTTGGGGTGGAGCAGAGGGGTAAAAGGAGATTTTGAGAGCAGAGGATAGTAATATGAACAGGAGTAGAGGGGGCATTTTAAAAGGTAGATGGAGTGGGAATCAAACTTGTAGGAGATTTTTCCCAGGGCATTTGCTCACAGTCCATCCAGCCTGCAGTAGAGTTCTTTGTTGTATCTTCCTGCTGCTTAAGTTATCCTGCTTTAGTTAAACTGCTGCGTTCAATTGCTGTTTTTGCACTGCTGCGTTCCCCAATTAGGAACTGATAAGGATCACATGAATTTGGGTGGAGGTTAGTCAAAACCAGACCAGCCATACAGGCACAGGCCAAAGTCCTAAAGATGATTGATTCTCTGATCACAGAAAGGCAAAGGAGGTGAGAATCAATCACCACAAACAGACAAAAACATATAGGTAAAAAGATACTAATTATCCTGAGTTTTGCAGAAAGTCAGTGCATAGCAGGGAGACAGGGTAAATGCTGTCGTGACCTCCACCTTAAACTGTCTCTCTGCTATGCACTGGCTTTTTGAAAACTTCCTTTAGTTTAAGGTGGAGATCACATAACCGTATTTACCCTAAGTTTTTAGAAAGTCAGTGTATTGCAGGGAGACAGTTTAAGGTGGAGATAACCATCTTCCACAATCTTCTCTGAGGGCCTTAGGGAGCTCCTTTTTTATTTTGGCATGTGGACACCACACACAACCTAGTTTACATGGTATCCTTGATATCTGAGGTTTTAAATAAAACCACATTCACCTGCAAACTCTTTAAAAAGGTTCTCATTATTGGCACCTAATCAACAGCTCCTGTTTCTAATTGCGTTTGAGATTGTAAATGTAGGGGGTTACTTCCATTACTTCCATTCCATATAATACATTTGCATTTATTTAGATAATATATTCACAGGGTAACTTTCATGTCATTTGGTCAAGTATATCCCCTTTTACCTGTAGTCCAGTTTAATTGAATCTAATTGAAAATTCAAACAGTTTCCATGGGGTGTACTTTACTTTTTAACATGCCTTTATTTGACCATTAAGGCATCGGAATCCATGTTTTAGGGATTTAACAGGGCTATAGCTCTTTGAAAAAGCATTAGGGTAAAGTTATTTAAATGTAATATTACTTATATAAAGTCTTCCAGCACAATTAATAGTGCTTGATTTACTGTTCCAGGTTATTGATGAAATCTTAAAACTTAATGAAGATCCTAAAGTCCATGGAGTTTCCCTTCATTTGGCTGAGCCCAGCTTCAGAGTACTAAATACAGTGACACCAGACAAAGATGTGGATGGGTAAGTATCTTATACATTTTCCTGCTTCTGATTTAAAAAAAAAAAAAAAAAAAAAATGGATATACCATTGGCCATTATGCTTCAGACCTGGTAAATATCCTGTGGCAGCTCCTGATGCTGAAGAACACGAACACTTTCCTGCCTTTCTCCCTTTAGTTATGACTGGGTCCAGTTAAAAGGGTCAGAGGCAAGGAGCATGCTCTGCAGACAATAATGCACATGTGCAGCATTTGGCCAAGTCCCACCCTCCTTGCCATCACTTATGTGTTCCATAAACACATTAAAGTAAAGTGAAAAAATGTTATGTCAAGGGTTTTTTTTTTTTTTTTTTTTTATTGCTGTGCACTAGTTAGGGAGATTTCCCTTCACATACTCTCCCAGTGACTCCTCGCTTGTCAAGGTGTGGTGGAGGTCAGTAGAGAGGTTACCAGATTTTCAGAATTAAATTTTGTGACACCCAACTGACCATGCCCACTTTTTACCACACCCAAAAAATCACAGGCTAATCTGCATCCTCACCCATAAAACCAACCTCTATTGGCCATAGACTTTTGAAATAAGAGACCAATGTGTGAGGAATAAAGAGAAAATAGATTTCAAATAAGAAGCTGTTTGGAAGGCCACCATAAAGATAGCAAGAGGAAACCTGCACCAAACCTCACTTGGAGGCCTGGCCAATACAAAATGTGTCGCTTGACGGTGTATAGCTTGTAATGTGCAGATTTAACAAGACCAAAAAACTATTTTGAAAATGAACCCGTTAAAACTTATATATTTTAGTAACTATGTTTCAATTCACTAAATGCTATGACCAATATCGCATACAATATTTTAACACACGCCTCTCTAAAATTTAGGTCTCTAGATCTGTGTAAGAACATAGTGGCAGCAAACTGTTTCTGGTAAAGTTGTGGGCACACACACTGATGATCATACTGATCTGTGGATAAAATTCTGGTCTGAAGCAGTGAGAGTCATAACACCTAACCTCTCATCTTTATCGTATAACATTTCTATAAGCACAACAGAGGGATGTCATTACCTAGGCTGGTGTTCTCAACCAAGGCACCCTTTTAAAATCCTGCACAATCTCGAGGTACCCCATTCTCAAATGTACAAAACTAAACCTAATAGTTTTACATAATGTAGCAGCATCCACATACATGGTGGGCAACCTAACATTAGATTTTATTTTATTCCTCCACCTTTTGTAAGCTAGTACTGACTCATATTGTATCATTTCTCTTCTTCCTCAATTTCTCCTCCTTTTTTCCGCTAACAAGTCACCAGAGAGGCAAGGGAGGGGCAAACAAGGATGTTGTGCAGGCCCCGATGTCCTGCTTATTAACCGATTTATGTAATTGGCTTTTAGAATGCCGAGGGCTGGCCTGCATTGTGCACAAGGTTGTAATGTTGCACAATAAAAACCTGTGGCTCTGTGTAACAAGACAGGTTTGCTGAGTTATTGACAATTTTTGAGCAATTTATGGCAATTTTTTGTTATTTTGCCAAGACACCACTGAGGTTTTTATTTTGCCACGGCACCCTGGTTGAAAAAGAATGACCTAGGCAACGTAGTTCTGATACCTAAACTACATATTTATTAGCCTCATTTTCCTGCCTGGCTGCTGCCACCAGCGATCATGTCGGCGAGCTCTTTCAATTCCATAAACAAATGGAACAATTCCTGTTACAATTCCTGCTTCAGGACTACATGCCTCATGATGCCCTGCCTGTCACAGAACAGCAAGACATTGCTTACCTTCTCCAGAAACACTCTTGGCTGCTGCTCATTTCCTGAGCCTGGCTCTCTGATGCTAAAGCTCTCCCTGTTTGTGGTGTCCAATGAAAGGAGGGACATGGTGGCTCTGTTGCTGCCTGCAGGACTCTACCATGGCAGGCACTGCCCACAAATGGCCAATACAGACAATGGATGATGGAGCAAACTACCAGTCCTGTTTAGAAACTGGACACTGGGGACAATGCCATGGATGTTTGTCAGGAACAGAGCACTAGAGACCGAAACTGTCTGGCAAACTGGGACAAATGGCATCCATGCACCAGACATCTCCCCAGTAGGGACTGATATGACAATACAAATTAGCAAAGGCGCCATCTCTTCCTCAGTCAAAAAAAATATATATTATTGCATGCTTTGCAAAAAAACTGATCCATGCCATCAGATAATGACTGTAAACTTATGTTAAAGTAGAGCTGCCATTATTGATGACTGCAGTGATGACATATTTCAACTGTGCTATCCTTGTGCTGAAAATGGGGTTGATTTTACTAAAGTAAACTATTCATTTTGCAAAATGATTTGGTCTATTTGCTAATAAATACTCCTCCCCTGAAAGTTAAATTTTAGTGAGGTGGCCTGCATTAGCTGCTAAAATAAGAGGACTGCTGGGCCAAACCCTTGACATTAACCTTCTCCGTGAAGGTAATTGGATAGCTTGTTATTAGCAGGCTGATGTCAAAGGGAAAGAAGTGAAGAGCATATAGACAACAGAATTTGTTGAAGGGTGTACTGGGAAGTAGCAGAGAAATATGAGACTTAACATTATGAAAATGAGATTCTCATCAAATCTGTTGTTTTATTTTACCTTTTTAGGGTCACAGATATCAACTTGGGAAAGATGGTCCGTACCAATGCTGAGGAGGGGTTCACTTCGCCCACTGCTAAAGGTGTTGTCCATCTCATAGAACAATTGGGTAAGTAATATTACAGCAGAACTAAACCCCCACTAAAGAATATTTTTTTGGCAGAGACCTGTAAGTAACTCAGGATTGTTTTGTTTTTTTTTCTCCCCTACACTGTACATATCCTGTTTAATGCTTTCACTTGTGGATGTACCTTGTTGCGAGGACCACCACGAATGATTTCAATGAATGCAGAAAAAAACCTTTTATTTAAAGGAACATATCTGGTTGTAGTGTTTTGACGTTAGATACTTTTTAAAACCCAACTCCAGTTTTCTTGAAAATTTAAATAGTTTGTTTGGACCAGGCTTGCCCAAATTAACTTTTATTGTACATCATGGGACACAGAGTGGGCTATTCATGACTGTCAGTTATAGGCCACCTATAGGTAAATGGACTCTGGCTGATCAATTGGAGAGGAAGTCCTCCCTAGATAACCCCTCCTACACAGGATGTACTTCAGTTTTTTTCACCAGTGTTTTATAAGGTGGATGGTCACTGAAAGTGTTGCTTGATCTCCTGGAGCATACTAAGGTCTAGTATGGTTCCGTTGAGAATCATGGACTTTATTCGGATCCATTCGGAAAGCTGTGAGCCAAAATTAATGGTACCCAATCCTCGCTGGATAGGAACAAGAATCCTCGGGGTTTTGCCTGTAATGCAGCCTGACGGCCCTGGACCCTGTGTAGATGGAACCCTGTGCAGTTTTTATATCTGACCACAATGCTTTCCATCTGGTTGCTTATGGGGACTGAGGCCTTGAAGATCTGTATGACAATGACAGCCATAATGGGTGAAGGTTGGTGCTTGGTGGAAGTCAGGGACCTGCGGTGGGACTGGTAAGCTACGTTGTTGATGATATTATTATTTATTTTGTTTTTCCCCTTCTGAGAGAGAAAAGACAAACAGGTTTTTGAAGGGGGAAAAAAAGGGCAGTTTCTTGGTGTAATTGGCCAATCCACCACCAGGGGGAGTGCTCGCAGATTTCAACCTGGGAAAATCTATGCTTGCCTGTTGTCTCTGGGTGGACCACTAACCATTTTTAAAGAATGTGGTCACGCATGTGCACGAAGCGTGCATGTGCAGTAGCAGCAGGAAGGGGCACTAATGACCTGGATGTCTGCTGTAGTATCCTCTCCTGAGATGCTAGAAGTGACTAGACAATCTGAGCCACTGCATTTATCTGGCATTATGGCTACTAATTGGGTGTCTGCCTTGGCATATGTAACCAAGGATGTTCTTGATTAAGCCTTAGCAGGTTTAGAGGATTAGATAGCAGGGTTGATTGCTCCTGTTTCTCAGGGGACTAAGAAGCGGGAGAGATCCCAGTCACTAGAACCACCAATCCTGGAGTAGAAATGAGTGGAACCTGAGGAGGAGCTGGAAAAAGGTTAGGCAGTGGAGTCTGTCTGTGGAGTCACAGCCTTAAGAGAAGCAGGTGGTATCTGCTTCCCAATCTCAGAAGTTATTAGTTCAGCACTTCACTGATGTGGTACAATCTGGGTTCAGGCTAAACCCAATAGAAACCTCTGAGGTTACTTATTCTCTGGGCTCTTTAACCACCTCCCACTCACCATATAAGGTAATGATGGGCACCAGGCAGTTCTCTCGTTCTGGGAGGACGTCATATGATGTCCTCCCACTCTAACCTGGCATGCGCGGCTCCGGGAGCGCGTAGCGCAGCGATCGGTGGTGCGCTGTGTCCCTTGAATACAGTGGATCACCAATCAATGGAAAGAGCCGAAGATGGCGGCTTGGTCATGTGATCAGCTGTGTCCAATCAGTTGATCATGTGTAAATAGGGAAATGCCGGTTATCAGCATTTCTCTCATCACGAGCTGTCACGCTGACAGCTTGTGAGGAGAGAAGAGCCGGTAATCGGCATTCCTCGGAGGGGACCTCTCCACTGATCATCAGGGCACTGATGATCAGTGAGCCCCCAGCAGTGCCACCTGTCAGTGCCCATCAATGCCACCTGCCGGTGCCAGTCGGTGCCTCATCAATGTCACATATCGGTGCCTACCAGTGCACATCAATGCCACATTTCAGTGCCCATCTGAGCTGCTATTCAGTGCCACCTATCAATGCCAGTCAGTGCCGCATATCAGTGCTATGAGTGCTGCCTTTCAGTGCCCATCAGTGATGCCTGTCAATGCCCATCAGTGCCACCTACTAGTGCCTCCTCATCAGTGCCACCTATCAGTGCCCATCACTGCAGCAGCCTCATTAGCGCACATCAGTGAAGGAGAAAAATCACTTATTTACAAAATTTTATAACAAAAACTAAAGCTTTTTTTTTTTTTTTTTTTTTTTTTTTCTTCAAAATTTTCAGTTTTTGGTTTAGCAAAAAATGAAAAAAAAACCCAGAGGTGATTAAATACCACCAAATGAAAGCTCTATCTGTTTAAAAAAAAAATGATAAAAATTTCATATGGGTACGGTGTTGCATGACCGCGCAATTGTCATTCAAAGTGCGACAGCACTGAAAACTGGCCTGGGCAGGAAGGGAGTATAAGTGCCCTGTAGACAAGTGGTTAAAGCCTCTGCAGAGTACTCAGGCCTTTCCAGTGCATCCTCTTCTGGAGAAGATTATGCTGACTGGGATCACTCAGACAGGGTTTTTTTTTTTTTCACTAAAGAGTTTTTGTACCCCACGGGAGAGACCTTTTTGTTAAAAAGTGGGGTATCCCTGTAGTGGATGCGGCTGTTTCATCCCTGAATAAGTCTTTAACATGTCCTGTGTGTAATGTCCAGGTCTTCAAGGATCCAGCAGACAAGATGCTGGAGTCTCTCCTTAAGGCCCGTTTCTCCCTGGCAGGTTCTGCCATACAGCCAGCAGTGGCAGATATTGGCATTTGCCAGAGTCTTTTTGACCATGTCAAATAACTGCTTGGAAGACCATTGGTGCAACGCATCTATTCGGCTGAGGATTTGGAGGATGTTCCATGTGCTTTATTTTTGTAGTTGCTCTAAAGCAGCAGCCACTAAATGGCAGACCGCGGTCCGAGAACGGCCCCAGCAGCGCTGCCTCCCGTTCCACCAGCCCGCAATGACTAATCCGTCGCTGAGCAGGGTGGTCGTCATGGCAACACGACATAGGCTTTTGAATTTTGTTGCTGCCTGGAGGGTTCTAATCCAAGACAAGTAGGCCATTTCCACAGTGTATCTGTGGTACAGATTAGAAATTCGGATTCCCCCCACCCCTTCCCCGGTTTCTAAAGTCAAATGTACCAATTAATCCAGCGAAAAGAAGGGCTGTAGTACAGGCACTCGATCGTCTGTTGTCTCGGGGTGATCAGAGGTTCCAGCGGATGAAAGGTTTTAAGGGTTTTATTCCTAGTTACATAGTTAGTCTGGCCGGAAAAAGACAAAGTCCATCTAGTTCAACCAAAGATATAAAAAAAAAAAAAAAAAAGTTAATCCTGTACCCACAATTGATCCAGAGGATGGCAAAAAAAAACAAAAACAGCAAAGCATGAGCCAATTTGCTCCTGCAAGGGAAAAACTTTCCTGCCTGATCCCCCTGAGAGGCAATCGGAATACTCCCTGGATCAACTTTACCTATAAATGTTGGTATCCAGTTATATTATGTGTATCTAGGAAAGAATCCAGGCCTTTTTTTAAAGCAATCTACTGAGGTGGCCAGAACCTTGAGGGAGTCTATTCCACATTTTCAAAACTCTTTATGTGAAGAAAACTTTGCTTATTTGGAGATAAAACCTCTTTTCCTCCAGATGTAAAGAGTGCCCCCTTGTCCTCTGTGAATACCTCAGGGTGAATAACTCTACACCGAGTTCACTATATGAGCCACTGATGTATTTCTACATCTTGATCATATCTCTCCTTAATCTCCTCTTCTCAAGAGAGGATAAATTCAGTTCCTCTAATCTCGCCTCATAGCTGAGCTCCTCCATGCCTCTTATCAGTTTGGTCGCCCTTCTCTGTGCTTTCTCCAGTCCCCCAATGTTTTTTGTGAACTGGTGCCCAAAACTGAACTGCATATTCCAGATGAGGTACTGCTAATTTGTTCAGGGGTAAAATGATTATCTCTCTCTCTGGAGTCTATACCTCTCTTTTAATACAGGAGAGGATTTTGCTCGCTTTAGAAACCGCAGCTTGGCATTGCATACCTTTATTAAGCTTGTGATCTACCAGAACTCCCAGATCCTTCACCATTGATTCCCCCAGTTGTACTCCCCCTAGTATGTATGATGCATGCATATTCTTATTCTCCTCAAGTGCATAACTTTACATTTTATCAACATTAAACCTCATTTGTCACATAATTGTCCAATTAAACAGTGCATTGAGGTCAGCTTGTAAGTTGGAGACATCCTGTAAGGACATTATTCCACTGCAAAGCTTGGTGTCATCTGCAAAGACTCAATTGGTACTTTTTAATCCCAGACCATTCAGAGTATGAATCATTAACCACTACTCTTTGAATACAATCTTTTAGCCAGTTTTCTATCCATTTACATAAGGATTTTTCCAAGCCTGTAGACTTTACCTTACACATTAGCCGTGTGTGGGGAACTGTGTCAAACACTTTTGCAAAATCCAAGTATACCACATCCACTGCCACCCTTCTGTCCAAGGTTTTGCTCACCTCCTTATAAAAAGAAATCAGATTTGTTCAACTTCTGTCTTTCGTGAATCCATGCTGTTTGTTGCTTTAAATATTTTTTTCCAGCAACTCAACGATGTGGTCTTCTATTAAACTCTACAGTATCTTCCCAACTATAGACTTTAAACTAACAGGTCTATAATTACTTGGTGAAGATTTTAATCCATTTTCTAATGACTGTCATAGTACCACTGGATTGGCGCAAAGCCTATATTTAAACAGTCCCTAAAAATTAAAAACCATGGCTTTGAAATGACAGGGTTCAATTCTTTAAGGACCCCTGAGTAAAGCCATCCAGTCCAGGTGCTTTTATTCACCTTTTTATTCTGTCTAAATATTTCTGGATCAGATAAATTGTGAGCCGATGTGGATCATCTGTGTCAAT